TTTTTCTCTTTTCTTTTTTTTTTCAAATCTTTTTCTTTTCTTTTTCTCTTTTCTTTTTTATTTCTTCTCTTTTTCGGACCCGCCACGCAAGTTTGGGCATCGCCACACTACTCTCGAAATGTGGAAAATGAGAATGAACTTCCGGCTAGAACATGACCAGATGCGCGCGCCACATTTTTGTCTTTTCCACATTTCGAGAGTGGTGTGGCGAGGCCCTTTGTTCCGACGGACGCCACATTTCTCTTTTTCTCTTCTTTGTCTTCTTGTTTTTTCTCTTTTCTTTTTTTTCTTTTTCTTTTCTTTTCTCAAATCTTTTTCTTTTTCTTTTTTCTTTTCTTTTCAAATGTTAAACATTTTTTTCTTTTTTATTTCTCTTTTTCTCTTTTTCCTGCAATCCGACGGCGGGCCCTTCGAGATATTCACTCGATCGACGCCCGCCGCCTCTCGGCCCCTGTGGGCGCGCTCTCTCGTTTGCCGGCGTGCTGTGAACAATTGGGTACGCGCACCGCTCTGCACGCACCCCCGCCCTCGATGGCCTTCATCCGCCGGGCCGAGTCAAAAGTTCGGCCCGATTCCGGCGCAGCGGAACATGATCTCCCGCCGCGGGCCGACCGCGCTTGAGGAGTAGGATATATATATTTTATATGTATATTATAATCCATAAAAGGATGGAGGCAAAAGGCAACATACTTAACAAACAACAATTACAGTGTGTGTGTTTGTGCGTCTGTGTGTTTCCTACTTCGGATCGCAGGCTGTCTTGACACGGAGAAATACACTCACAGGGACACAATATAAGGATGATCCAACCATTTTCGGCTGGGAGCTGATGAATGAACCACGAGCAATGGGAGGAGGTGACACCGATGTCGTCCAGGCATGTACACCTCTTGCTTTTGCGATATTTGCACATGCCCATGATACTCATTTACACAAATGCCTTACCCGAATGCCCCTACATGTTGACTCAACCAGGTGAATGATCTGTACTGGGATGTGTGGATGCCCTAGTACCCTCTGATAGTATCCTCACTCAAGTGCAGTGAGCTGCACAACCCTACAGCCATACCTCCCTGTATTCCTGCATTCACTTTCCTTTTCTTCTTTTGCCAATCGTCTTATTTTTCTTTTTCATTTTCTCTCCGTTTCTTCTTTCCCTCATTTTTTCTGTTCACCTGCTCGAATCATATGGATTCATATGTCCAAGGAAAGTATGTGCATAGCTGCATTGAATTGATTGAATTCACGAGGCATGAAGAACCAAAGCTAAGTAATGATATGAGTGAGGTCCATGGCCTTGTTTAATGATAATACATAATAGAAAACAACAGTACCCTCTGATAGTGTCCTCACTCAAGTGCAGTGAGCTGCACAACCCTACAGCCAAGATACCTCCCTCTATTCATGCCTTCACTTTCCTTTTCTTCTTTTGCCAATCGTCTTATTTTCCTTTTTCATTTTCTCTCCTTTTCCACTTTCCCTCATTTTTTCTGTTCACCTGCTCGAATCATAAGGATTAATATGTCCAAGGAAAGTATGTGCATAGCTGCATTGAACAAAAAAAAAAAAAAAAAAAAAAAAAAAAGGTCCATGGCCTCGTTTAATGATAATACATAATAGAAAACAATGGTGACCATTCTTTTAAGCCCAACCAATTCAATTACCTGTCAAATCTGGACAGGACGGCTTTTCAGGCCTTTTTATTATCATTTGAGTTCAAGTCAACAAGGGAGCTGCACCCGACCTGCAGGTGGGCAATACCGGCCAGGGGACAGCCAGTAGCATCAGGACAGAACCAGTCGCTGTGCCTCCCCTCCGGTCCCCTCACCCTACGAGCATCAGCAGTCTCTCCTCCGTGCCACTTGCGGGGACCAACAGCTTATCTCTAGGTGGCACCAAGCTTGCCCAGGAAAGTACATGAGGCCGATGGGGATTGAACCCAAGACCTCCTGAATGCCACTCGCTTGACTTACCAACTGAGCTAGGCTGCTGGCGTTTTCAGTTCCAGAGCTTAAAAACACATAGAATGGGCCATTCAAACATGGCACAAGTTTGCAATGTGCAGAAAAAACATAACATTGCAGTCTGAACACCACACTCGTCCCCTGTAAAAGAACACTTGACCCACCTGCTTTGGAAGCTGTGCCGCGTTCAAATTGCCTTTTTGAACTCGCATCGTGTTTGCCTTTTGGAAAATTTGATTCTGACTGAAAACGTACTTACTACTTACCCCTAAATAATACTTTATTCCTCCTTTTCCTGATTTTCACAAACCTGTGAATGTGTGTGTTACAGTCTGCGACTTCAAACGGGCCTCCACAGGCCCGACACACCGGTTCAGGGGTACCCAGGCCGGCCTCGCCAAAGGCCAGGCCTTTTTTCCCTCCGGTAGGCGCTATTAGGCCACCGGTTGGGCCCCAGCGCCAGCCACCCAGGTTGGCCCAAATGACATGACCGTTTGGGCCTGGCGGCGCTCTTGAGGCTGCCGCCCACCGGTCTGGGCTGAACGGCCATTTCGACGGTTCAGCCCATGGCGCAGGAGGCCAGCGTCGAGGTCGACCGGCCGCCGGACGGTACTTAGGCCGGTCCAGCAGCCATTCCTACAGGTAGAGAGTAGCGGTAGTGAGAGCAACCGCGCTGCGCTATTCTGAGTTCAGCGCAGCGCTGGGACTGCAGCGCTAAGTTTAGCGCACGGCAGTCCGGGAGAGCGAGGAGGAGGACTTACCTGGACAGCAGCTACGAGCGCCATAGCTCCCCGCGGCTCAGCGGCCTTCTGCAGCAGCCAAGGCGCCACCTTGTCCCATCACGTAGGGCCTGGTGCCACTCGCCATCTCCGTGCATCCTCTGCCATCTCTTCTTCTTCCTCTTCTTCTCCTTCTTCTTCAGACTTCATCTTCTTCTTCTTATTCACATTGGAGACTTTGATACGAGTTGGACAGAGGTCAGTGTTTGGACTTCGGTGGTAAGAGGCTGTGATACTTACCGGATTCGAGACTTGGAGATAGTTGGGATTGGTACTCGGCGGCATCACAGATTGGACACGGTTATATTAGGACTCTGTACCTCCGACATTGGTGACTTATTGTCCACGGCATTCTGATCTTGTTCGACGACATTTTGGACTACCATATTGGATTCTATCTCGGTGACAGCTGGCGCTGCCTACATCTCCCACCTCCTTCGCCTCTCCCCCACCTTTCATCTGTGTATGGTTGTACGGGGCCTGAGCATCGTCTATGATTGGCTCAGACCCCACCATCTCACGATTGTTTGTGTGTTGAGTGATATCTGTATGAGTTCAGTCTATGTGAGTCAGTCCACTTCTCAGACTTCCACTGCATACATGCTCATCCTATATTGGTTGATCTTTGGTTCTGCTCATACTTGTTGAAGTACTAGTATGCAACAGTTTTGGTATCGGAGCAGACCAATCAATGGATCTGCTCACAAGGTAATTCTGATTAGGGAATAGATTGCTCAATTAGCACTATTCGATTTCCTAATCAGTTCTGGGTTACTATCGAGATTCAAAGTTGCAATTTTTTTTTTAATTCGGTATTCTGTTTTAATTCCGTATTCTGATTTCAATTCGGTATGCTGTTTTTAATTCGGGATTCCGTTTTAAATTAAGTATTCTGTTTAATTCGATATTCTGTTTTAATTCGGTATTCTGATTCTAATTCGGTATTCTATTTAAATCGGTATTCTGTTTTAATTCGGTATTCTGATTTCAATTCTGTATTCTGTTTTAATTCTGCGAGGCCACTGCCTCTATGAGCCCCTTTTTGGCCCCTCTCTTACAGCCCGTCGGCCGCCCTAAGTGAAGGCAGGCTCGACGAGGCCTTCAGGGCCTTATTTCGGCCTCTGCGCAACCTAGGAAATTCAGGCAGTTGCGCAGTGCCAGTTGGTTGAAGAAACCCAGGCCCTGGGCCGCCTGTGTGAATGAATGGAAAGCAGGCCCTGGGCTGGATACGGGTACTGGGCCACACACATGCCAAAGGCAGTTGGGCACATGCAACTACCGCAGGCCCAGGCCTGTGCTCGATCGTACTGGGCCTCAGGCTACCGGGGCCTACTGGAAGCTTCCTGGGACTGAACGCAGGCAGGCCACTTCGATATAGCAAAGGGCCTGCTTCCTCATTCGGCATTCGGGTGCTGGCTGCATGCTGCGCAAGCGCTGCTGCGCTATTGTGCTGGCTGGCTCCTACGCTCTCACGGGCGAGCAGGGAAGGAGCACGCAGCCACAGCCGAGCTGCACTGCTGTAAGCTGGGTGAAGCGCAGGGTTGTCCTTGGGTGCTAGTGGCATCTGTGTGTTGGGGAACGAGGTTGTGAGTGTGGCGAGAGACATACCTGGTGCTGGAAGCGGGCGACGTTGGTTGCCATATGCTCGTACTTCGGGAATGCTGTTGACGTCATCTTTCGGCATCGTAGTGTAGGCTATAGATAGGATCTGCCACATGTAGTCTGGGCGCCGAGCGCCAAATAGGATTGAGGGCCCTCAAACTGTTAATGCATGGGGATCAAATTATGGACCAGATGGGTATGGGGCCCATATTGTTAATGGTGTATGCCCTGCCAAAGAGCGATGTCCTCTTACCCTTCTATTTAGGAAGCTTGTCCCTACCTGGGGTGAGTACTGCTTGTGAGTGGTATTGGGGCTCACCTTCTGCTGTTGGTCTCACTCCCAAAACTTGAACATGCTCCCATAAAAGGAGGGGACTCACTATACTCTTGCAAAGCCCAGAGGAGGCTCCCATACACGAAGAACCACCGGGCCTGAGTTTTGCCTCCCCAGTTGACTGGCATGTATGAGATTAGACTGAGGCGATCCCTGGTGGCCTTAAGTTCCTCCATGTTTGCTTCTGAGACTAGCGTAAGGATCGTTAGGTCTTGTCCAACAATGAGCAGATTGGGATAGCGTCATCCATCAGCCGGGCCACTCTGAGCACGTTGAGGTTTTTATTTTGCCATAGGTTTGCTGCAGCGCTTCCGTGATGATGACAGGCAACGGGGGGAGACAAGGGGGGCCTACCTCAACAATCTTTGCAGACCAAACAACCTCATTTGCTGAGATGCTGACTGATGCTCATTTTGGTAATGCATTTGTCAAGAGTTAGCGCCCCCATGGCCATACACCTTCTCAAAGTAGATGAAGGTGGTGGGTGTCTTTGACTTCATCTGTCTACTGATAGAACATCATTTGTCTACTGATAGAACTTCATGGCAAGTGCGGTTGTTTGTTTGGATTCCCTATGTGCCCCACAGTTGTGTCGTCTGGTATCACAAGAGCCAAAAACAACAAACATCAAAGGGTTGGTTCTACAGAGTCTACACTGAAATGAATACCAGTTCTCACACATCTGCTTGTTGGTAATCCCAGGACAATCTAACTATTGGTAGCGAGCTTTCAGAAACCCCTTTCACGGCCCTTTTCTATCGATTAACTGGCTGACGAATTGGTACTACTGTGCCATACATATGCCAACCACACTAGACCACAGCCAAATGGATGCGAGCAAACCAGATTGGAACTGCTTTCAGCTACAAAGCTGAAGAAAACACCAAAGTGAGATAACCTCAAGAGGTCGCCTTAAACCACTTGTAGACCCAGGCCTGGAGGCGCCTTACTGCCTGCCAAGCTTTTCTGAACCGCCAGTAGTGCACTTTTTTTCGTTTTTGGCTGGCGCAGCCAGCTATTGTGGTCCAATAGACAGAGTTATTGCTACAGTGCGGTGGCGACGAGTTGCTTTCTCTGCACGGTTAGGGCCGTGTACTGACGGTTTAAAATGCTTAAATGTTAAACTTGTACATGTCCAAAGCGAGTTGGCCTCAAGGGGTTGCCTTAAAATGCTTAGATGTTAAGCTTGTACATGTTG